TTAGGGACCTCTCCAAAGTACTCAAGAGCAACGGTGTCTCCCCAGAGACCAAGGTGTGCCCTATACAGGCCATGGTCATCACAATCACGCGCCATGCATCAGAGAGTTGGACAATGACCACAGAGGACAGAAGGAGAATTGATCCCTTTGATCTGCGGCTCCGGAGAAAAGCGCCGAATGCACCGTGGACTGCCAAGAAAACTAACAGACCCATCCTGGAGAGGGTCAAACCAAGCTACTCCCTAGAGGCAAGGATTCCAGGGCTCGGTCCGACATACCCCGGGCATGCTGCAAGGAGGGAGAGGCCCCCGGAGAGAGACACCACGCCTGAGCGGGCAGAGGGATGGCACAAGAGGGGAAGACCCTCCATGAGATGGACCGACCCAGCAACCGGGGCAATCAGAATGGGCATGCCAGAGGCAACGTGACTGGCACAGGACGACGCAGGGTCCAGAGCCCCGGCACACAAGTTATTACATTTAAAATTTCTTTTTATAGTTTTTTTAACTAAAAGACACCAGTTTCCAATTTATACACTTTTCCTGAAGGGGATCAGGTAACAGATTAGCCACAACACTGCCTTTGAATCTGACACTTTTAGTTTTGTAAACAGGGCTGGAGGCAGCTGCCGGCAGGGAGCTGACTCCAACTCGAATTCACTGGCGGCTCACGCCTGGAGGACAGGCCAGGCATCCGGGAGGAGAACAGCCCCAATCCTCTGAGAACCGAGTGCCCCCTCCGCCACCCACTCCACCACCGGTAGGGCAAAGGGCGCAGTGGCATCTCTGGCCGTCCTGCAGGTGGCTGGGGGTACTAACGGTTCCACTCCAGGTGCGCGCATGCATGCACCTTCCCTTTGGAGTTCCCCTTTGGAAGTCGCGATTCCGAAGCAAATCCAATATCCTTGGGCAGGGGGAGGCGGGCTAAGTCCCGCTGCTGCACCGGGTTCTCCTTCCTCCGCCTTCTTCTCCACCCCTGCATCTCAGAGGGATGCATTTTTTTCTTTGCTTTTCATTAAAAATAAAACAATCCCAAACATTTTATAAAACAAAGAAAGAAGCACATGTTCCTGCTCGCTTTAATGGATCCGGGGACAGGAGCGGAGGCGTGGCCGGCCAGGGAGGAGGCAGAGATGGGGAGGGGCATAGCAAAATGGCGCCAGAATTTGAAAAGGCCCAAAAGTCTTTCTTTGTTTCAGCAAGGCAAGATGGCGGTAGTTTTAACAGCTACGATTTCGTTAAAGAGATTTCAGTAAGAAAAAGCGGTGATGGGAATTTTCTTAGGGCCAAAT